ACAACCCTCTCATCTTTGGAGACAAAAGTCTCATGGAACTCGCACCTTATGAAGTCCTTTTGGACGATGGATTCTACGGAAAACCCATCATTCTCGAAACGGAACCTGACCAAGAATTCCTAGGCTTCATGCTCGAAACCAAACCACTGGAGCTGATATGTCAAGGACCCACCAATATTTCTCAGGTCCTGTCACCGTTCTCAGCATCTCCTCCAAAAGTCCTGCTCAGCGGCTTCCGCTCCCGATGCCACATTGTGATCAAGGGTGCCTTCCCAGACTTTCCTGTTCCACAAGGTCTTGGCCAATTAATTCATTGGTACTCACATGCTGGATTTCCCAAGGAGGAACTCCACGCTATTTCCAATCACATTTTGACTCAGCATCAGAACCTTCAGCCGCCTGTGCCAAACCAGCGCTGCTTGATGTGTCACGCTGCTAATTTTCACTTCCCAAAGGGTTCTTCCTTTTTTCCCCCCTTCCCTCTTTTCGTTGGCTTTGTTCCTTTTCTTCGTCTCTTCCATCTTTGCTTTGTCTCCGTCTTTTCGTTTAGCAACTTGGCTCAAACTCCGCTCCATTCCGGATTTCTCTCGCTTTTGTATTGAACATCATGGACCATGCTCAAGGTCGTGCATTTCATCACCATTTGGCTCGGGCCATTATGCATTTGAACCACTTGGCTGGTCTACTTCCTTTCTTCGAACCCTCTATTGAATGGGACGATCCAATGCCTACTTCACAGTTTCGCTTGGAACGTCACACATCCAGAGGCCTCCACACGTTTGGCCCCGTACCTTCTGCACCACATCCACCCACAATGGTATCACATGGAGGCATTCCATCACATATGATTGTGAATCCTGAACCGAACCTACGTCCTTTCACAACGAGTCGTTTCCCTCATGGGGAAGAAGACCACATTCCAGGTTCGGACAATACAACCCGAAATCCTGTTCCCATCGACGGGCACACCGATACTCGTCCTCCAGGAACATCAACAGGCCCGGAACCTCCTCGAGCTACTACCCGGACCACAATACCGGTTCCTGTTCCGGTCAAAACAACGTCGTGCCACTTCCACGGAAGACCCACAACCGAAGAAAAAACAGAAATCAGCGTCGGGTCCACAATCCACCGCTCGCCCTGTGTCTCTTCCCATCATCTCCGAACTCCCACGTGATGGCTTCAACTCTGATGACTCGGATGATGATGCAGCATCCAGAGCCGCTTCCCCACATGATCATACAGCCAACGACCTCAGTCGAGATACCACCATACCACCCACCATCACTACCACTACACCACCAGGCACTTCAACGCCAATGGTTTTGACACCAAATCCCACTATCCGCATCCTGCAACCTACGGAATCTTCTCGTCCTCCAAGTGACCCACCATACCGACCCTGGTCGAACACAGATGATCAAGAGCTGATCAATCTCAAAAAATGACACAAAATCCCGTCCTTCGTGGAAGACGATCGGAGCTCGACTTCGTCGTGATCCTCAGGTATGCAAACTGAGATGGGGAATCTTAAAACAAACGGACCCACATGGTCACGTTCATCCGCCTCACGAACCAGAGGCTGAGGACTAAACGGCAGTGACATTCCAAAACGGAAAAAAAAGGAGTGTGCCTGCCTCTCAAACGTCGGACATGCCGCTTTATCTTTTGTTCCTTCTTCTTTCCTTTTCTGTTTCTGTCCTTTTTTCGTTTCTCTTCCATGTTTTGTTTTTTGGTTTCCCTAGTTCATACACCCATACGCCCAAGTCCTTGCAATGTTTGCGTTTGACAGCTATTCCCAATCAAAACGCTCGCCACGACCCCTGTCCCGGCACAGACCTTGCAAAACCCCTTTCCCCATTGGAAACGCTAGCTTTAACAAGCCTTGACCAAACTATCATGGTTCTATTATGTTCTATTCGTTTTTGATCGAATCCCATCGGAACGCCGGTTTCCAACGGGCCTTTTTTCGTGGGCACTGTTGACGCCCACAAACAAAAACGCGAAGCAGGCCCTTTTCCTAGTTTGTATACTGCAGTATGGGTTCTGATAAAGGAAAAAACGAGGTCCAAAACGAGGTACGGAAAAAGCCCCGCATCTACACACATGGACTTTGGCCTGCAAGCCGCAAACCTGCCCTTCCTTGGATCACTGGTAGCGAAACAATGACAATTTGCAGAATCCCAGCACACCGCCATGGCAGTGTAGAGATGATAATCCCAGCGTTGTGTAGAAGTACCCGGAAACAGCAACAGCAGCAGCCGTCGAACCAGCAGCCGCAGCAACAGCAAGACGCCAGTAGCTGCAGAACCCAACAGCAACCATCCCAAACACAATGAGAACGCAACTAGCAAGATTAAAGCACTATGCTAATAGTAAAACAACGCCCTACCCCAAACACAACCTAAACGCCGCTTCGCCACTTTAGGTCTACATGAGATAGTAAGACAGCAACCTACCCTAAACACAAGCTAAACGCCGCATCGCCACGACTTCCACAAAAGCCTTCCCCCAAGCTAATTTCAAGATTTTTGGGATTTCGCCACGACTTGGGCAGTTGGGAGTAAGGCTCACTCAGCCGATTACGTCCGAATTGCCCCTGATCTTTCCCGCTCCCGGGACGAACCCATGTGGCAGAATCGAAACCAACAACGTCGTAGCCAATATCGCGACACATGGCATGATGTACCACCAGTACGTCGACCCAGGCAAGTACTCATCATCGTCAATCTTGAAGCAGTTCGTCCACTCATGACCAAAGTCCATGGTGATGTCATGGATTCAACAACCTGCGAAGCTTTACCTTCTCTTGGTAGAATGGAAGAACTCGCTCTGTTCACCTATACCATGTCCTGATCCAGACATACCACGTGGAAACATTCACGGTGAACAACTTGCTGTACTACATCAGCCAACACATCTTGTACACGTGGGATCGCCATCTTGAACCCACATCTATGGATCTCCGTTGGCAAGACCAGACTGGGGACACCTTCGTCCTTCGCAATGAGTACCGCCTGATTGATCTTCTCCATGAATTTCGTCCTCATTGGACTACAGGTCATGAATTCGGGATCTTGTTTCCGAACAATATTCGGCCTTTCACTTCCCAGAATCAGCCATATATCATGCGCCTGAGTTGCCATGAGGCACTTCCCAATCGCAACATGCTTCCATAAATCGGGAAAAAAGTCCGCCTTGCTTCATGTTCCACTTACTCAACCTCTTAGGTGTTTTTCTTCATGTCATGTTTGTCTCATCATCGCATTGGCACACTACCTCTTCAACCCTGTGTGTTTCCTCAGCTCTTGGCTTCAGTTTTAATATGACAAAAAGAAATCCTTTCTTCGCCGGTATTGACTCTCCTCGGGCACCGACGAGCGTGCAACGTGGTCATCTCCAACTCGAAGGGCAATCCAGCAGTGGTGCTACATCCTCAGGTCACAGACCGCAACCAAGTACCGCCATGGGCACATTGCCGCAACATCCCCACCATGGGATAGAACATCGCGGCAGCTCTTCTCAGACTCACCACTACGGGTACACGTCAGCGGCACCGTCAGTTCCTCTACCGGATACATCTGCCCACCATCTCCATGAAGAAGCCTACCCACTCCAAGCGGAGATCGAACAACAACACCGAGTTCTCCACACTCACATCTTCAAAGAAGTCATTTCTCCTCACCAAACAGGCGTCAATCGCCTTATGGTGACAGAAGTGGATAGTTTCGGTGTTCAACGGAACCGTCAACCGGAGTTCTTCTTCAATGGAATTGTTGGTCACATTCGTGCAGACCGCCATGGCTGGATCAACAGTTGGGAACAATCCACCCAACTAGCCAACTACTGGCGTCGTCACTTCAACATCCCTGAGGTGAACAATGAGAACAATTCGTGGCAGCATCACCAGCAGCCGTCTGACAATGCTGATCGACCTGAAGAAAGCCAAGAGTCAACACCAAAATCGAAGATGGAAGACGACGATTTCACCGCTGCCAATGTTGGTACGGCATCGGCCCCTAGTCAGATCCACCAGTTGGCCACAGTCCTCTGGAACATTCTCAACAATGACAGAGAATCCAATGCTGCGATCCATGAGAAGCTTGAGAATCCGGGAGATGACTTGAGCACCAACCGGGTCCAGGTCTTCACGGCAGCAGACCTGGCCCATCTTGCAAGCCATTTGGCCCTGACAACGCAAGTCCTAGCCCAACAGGCACAGGACATGGAAGAATTGTCCGAAATCGATGACTAGCGGCAACGTGAACTACCTTCCGATGTCCAATCTGAGCAGACCGGATAATTCAATTGCATTTCACTCCCTGTGTTTTGATTTTGCTTCAATCGCTACATCCTGTCTCAGGGATCAGATAAGAGCTTCGCTAACTTTCATGCAGTTGTTGAAAAAACAGCCTCGCGGCTGCGAGGCGTGTGTGTGGAACATCTGAAAAGATGTAAAACTTCTAACTTACTTGCTGAGTTTACAATGATCGTTTTTCATCATTGACGCCGGTAGCTTTTTGGTTTTTCACTTGACTTTCAAATAGGAGTTCACTTCATTTCCAGCAGGGGGGCAGTGAATCTCATTCCACCCACTGCCCAACGAAGACGGTGGTTTGAGATTGTGATATCGGGACTGATCATCCCGACGTACCTGCAATTTTCCAACTTATCATCAATGGCAACCGGCTAAGCCAAGAACCGGCATGTCGTTTTTCAAACAATTTTCCAATCACACTTTCAGGTTTCAATCTGAACTTGTGCCGTCTAGGTCAGATGGAACAGTTGCATCTAGCAAGGACGTAGAAAGAATTCCTCTACACTGTTTCTCGCGCCTAGTCATTCACTACTTCCTGTCAGGTTTAACTGAGGTGTTTTTGCACGTACGATGCATTCCACATCAATAATTCTATAAGCTATTTCTGAGCAAGTGTGTGAACATGTTGTGTGAAAACCATGTAGGAAAGCTATTCAAAATCAATCTGTTAAAACCAAAACTCTTAAACCTGTATGAAAGTGAAAACTATGTGAGAGGGAAACAACTGCACGAAAACTGTCCGAACGCTATGCTTTGAGCTGCTCCGTTTTGAAGGTCCTTGACTCACCAAACCGGGTCTCGATGCTGCTGATCGCTTGAGTTTGCGCAAGTACTCAGGGTCTACGCTGTCCTTGGCAACGGGTTCCACGGTTCCAACATGAGCCAGGAGAGCTATGTGAAATTTTGGCTACAGTACATCAGCAGGTGTCACTGCATACTAATTGCCATAGTTTGCAATAGGACTGAAAAATATAATGAAATATGAATGGTAAAGTAGAAATATTGCACAGTCTTTGCAATAGAAAGCGTTTCCATTTCCAAAAAACGTTTTTCTAGAAAAGGCATGCGTTCTTACGAGAAAATGTCGTCCAGTCGCTGTTTCGGACGTCGGTTTGGGGAGCTCAGGACCTTCACCGGTCAAGAGGTTCACGAGTTCGTCCTCGCGTTTCTTCTTCTCGAGCCATTCCTTGATGTGCTCCACCTCGTGATGGGCCATGGACTTTTCAAGAAACTAAGTCAACTATAAGTCCGAAGTTACTAGAAATTACCAGTAGTACCGGGCAAGGCGGTGGCGGAAGTTTCAAAAATAGGAAACCTATAGGAGAGGTTGGTTGTTGTGAATCAGGGATAGCAGAGCGAAGCCACTGATGGACTGAAAGGCGATTGATCTCTCTCACTCTTTCTCTCTCTTTCTCTGATTATCTACCTACCTACCTACCGATCTATCTATCTGACTATCTATCTATCTACCCATCTGTCTATCTATCTATCTATCTATCTCTCTCTCTATCTCTCTCTTTTTCTATCTATCTATCTATCTGTCTGTCTGTCTGTCTATCTATCTCTCTCTCTCTCTATCTCTCTCTATCTATCTATCTATCTCTCTATCTATCTATCTTTCTATCTATCTATCTATCTATCTATCTATCTATATATCTACCTACCTACCTACCGATCTATCTCTCTCTCTCTCTATCTCTCTCTCTCTATCTATCTATCTATCTATCTATCTATCTATCTATCTATCTATCTATCTATCTATCTATCTATCTATCTATCTATCTATCTATCTATCTATCTATCTCTCTCTCTATCTATCTATCTATCTCTCTATCTCTCTATCTCTCTATCTATCTATCTATCTACCTATCTTTTTAAATATATATATTTATATATATATATATCTACCTACCTATCTGTCTATGTATCTATCTATCGATCGTTTTTATTTATTTATCTATCTATCTAATCCCTTCCTCCTAATACTAAACGTCCCCCTAATACTAAAAACAGGCATCCATCTCCAATTCCGAAAATTTCAGTTTGGCCAATTTGACTTTTAATTGATCCCCTTTAAAAAACAATTCAAAAATCAACCTACCATTTGTGGGTTCTCCCCCCTAATACTAAAAACTAGTTCACCCCGGGGTGTTTAGTATTAGGGGGGCCTAGTCCCAATCCCTCACTCCAAGCTGCCTAGCTACTCTAGCAATTAGGGGTAAGCTTCTAACTGCAATTTTTGGCAATATTTTAATTGCGTTATATAAGGAAATTTAATTGATTTTGAGATCGGAAAAAATAGTTTTTAGTATTAAGGGTTTTAATTTAGTATTAGGGGTAAGCTTCGAACTGCCATTTTTGGCAATATTTTAATTGCGTTATATAAGGAAATTTAATTGATTTTGAGATCGGAAAAATAGTTTTTAGTATTAAGGGTTTTAATTTAGTATTAGGGGTAAGCTTCGAACTGCAATTTTTGGCAATATTTTAATTGCGTTATATAAGGAAATTTAATTGATTTTGAGATCGGAAAAAATAGTTTTTAGTATTAAGGGTTTTAATTTAGTATTAGGGGTAAGCTTCGAACTGCCATTTTTGGCAATATTTTAATTGCGTTATATAAGGAAATTTAATTGATTTTGAGATCGGAAAAAATAGTTTTTAGTATTAAGGGTTTTAATTTAGTATTCGGGGTAAGCTTCGAACTGCCATTTTTGGCAATATTTTAATTGCGTTATATAAGGAAATTTAATTAATTAATTAACATGACTTCGATTTGGTTCCCTAACAATAAATACCCCCCTAATACTAAAAACTACCTGCCGTGTTTTGTATTGGGGGGGGGGTTTAGTATTAGGAGGAAGGGATTATCTATCTATCTATCTCTGTCTGTCTGTCTGTCTGTCTGCCTTTCTATCTGTCTATCTGCAAGATTGAAAACGAAGCTCTTGTGCGAGACTTCCTCATTTTTCGAAGTTGACAACATCAAAAACGAAGCAATTCTGCGAGACTTCTTCATTTTTTTAACTGGACAACATCCAAAACGAAGCAATTCTGCGAGACTTCCTTCAAAAATGGAACGTTGAATGCAGAGCTGACGGCTTCGTTCCAATGCGTTTTTGAAATTTCCAGTCCATGTCTCTAAACTATTGCGCCTGCCACGAAAAAGTGAGGCCAGGCCATACGAAGTGCTGCACCTGTCACGCAAAATCATCTCAGCAAACCTACAGATCTGATGCTCCAAAATGCAACCCCTCTCAGGAAAGCAGCGCCTGGACCTCCCAACATCTCTGATGAACATGTCTCTCGTACTGCCCCTGCCACGGAAAATTCATCTTTGCAGATCCTCTTCAAATGTCCCACGCCTGCCATCGATTTTGGAGATGCTACAAAACCCTCACGTTTTGCTCACTTTTGAGAACGTCCACAATCCCTTGCACCTACCACGCAGAACGACATCTGAACGTCCAAAAGTGGTCCGAACGTGGTGTGTTTTGTACATGTTGGCTTCGAAATGTGCTTCGCGCCACAACGGTGTGCACTTTTTCGACATCTCAACTTCCAAACGTGGTCCGACAATGGTGTGTTTTGTACATGTTGGCTTCGAAATGTGCTACGCGCCACAACGGCGTGCACTTTTTCGACATCTCAACTTCCAAAAGTGGTCCGACAATGGTGTGTTTTGTACATGTTGGCTTCGAAATGTGCTACGCGCCACAACGGCGTGCACTTTTTCATCTCTCATCTCCCCAGACGGTTTAGCAAGCCTATTTTTCGACCCTCCAGAGCCACAAATCAATGGAAAAACGCAGTGTTTCGCAACTTTGCTACCTTTTCGCGCACCTGCATGTTCTGTCTTCTGACTCTTTCGCTTCTCTGATCTTCTTTCTTCTTCTCTTCTCTGACTCTTCCCACCTCTGCTTTTTCATCTGTCCATATTGTCGGAAGTTTGACTTCTAAACTTCCTTCGGTTAGTAGCTTCTTATCCCTTAAGGCCTTAAGATACAAGTTGTATAATTTATATACAATTTAGATATTAACAATGAAAAAGTAATGTAGAGCACGGATATTTTCTAAGAGCACAGCCGGCAGCTGAGCAGCTCTTGGCGCCAAGTCGCTGCTTTGACGTGTCGAAATCGGCCGTTGAGGTCCCGTTGAGGTCATTGATGCAGGTCATTGATCTCTGTATTGCATCGTCATTGCATCATTTCTTCAAAGTTTCTGACCTCAAACGGGTTTTCAAAGAGACTTCTTGAGACTTTGCAAAGACATTTGAACTTTTCCATTTTCTTCCCTTCTGCACAGAAGACTTCAATGTCTCACTTGACAACGGTTCGTTTGTGAAAGGATTTTAGAACAAACGGGGACCATAAAACCACGAGTTCGCACAGTGCAGGGCCTCCTTTTTGCGATCGAAGCACTGAGCCAAAACCTCCTTTGCCTCGTTTGCAACACGAGCAACGCAAAAACATTGCAAAAAGTTGAGATCGAGTTGTCAAATGTTTTCAGAATTTTCACAAATAGTGTTTCGGCGTGCTTGAGGATGCAGGTGATTTGTTGTGTGCCATTGTTTGCCTACAAATGGGTCGATCTCAAGCTGATGCATATATCAGTTTGCATTTCAGTTGCTGTAAATTAAATCACATTCGACTTATGTATTATTCCGATTTATCATCTTTAATACTAGGATTCAATTTATGTTAAACGTATATTCAATTCCCATCAATTCCCTGAATAGCATGCCATAGATACGCCAAGCAAACGCCCAGCAGTCGGAAAACCAATCGTACAGTGCAAAGCTTGCCTGCTTCCAATGCCCTGGATGCCTTCCTCGGAACCACACAGATCACAGGATGGGAAACCTGTGAAACATGGTGACACCCGGCACTGGGAAAAGTATCATCGGATATCATCGGGACCTGACGTCTGATCATCCATGGTCATGGTCTGAATGTTCAGCCTTTGTGGGTGACACTACTGCATGTTGTGCACGTCTGAACACCTTCTTCCCCTCTGTCTGCGTGCCAAATCACTTGGACCCTCTGACTCGACCCGACTCGATCCGCACGCCAAAGGGCTCCAGCTCAAGATCTCGGCCTTGAAAGAGTATCCGGCAATCTACAGCCTCGTCATCCTCGCCATTCTCGTCATCCTCGTCCTCCTCGTCCTCGTCCAGGCGAAAATCCGGAAATGCGGAAGAAAGCTCCTCCATCTCCATCTGTTTCTCATCCACCTTAGTATCCACGGAAATCGGATGAAACGGCCACAAACTGTGGACTTTTTTGAAGCAGCTTCCAACACCAACCATCCCCACAGCTCCACAACTGCACAGCTGCGGCTATGTGCTCGCGCAATGCCTATGTGGAGCAGGAGTTTTGACACGCACACGAATCGTCAAATAATGTGAAATCCGCCATCCTGCCGGCGTGTGTGATTGGAAGGTGTTGTTCTTGTTTCTGTCCTTGGCTTGAACTGGTTCCTTCGTTCTCTTGCGCGAGTTTTTGCTTCGTCTGTATCAAGTCCACCCCCCCGTTACTAGTTACAGCACGCACGCGGTACTAAGCTGATCGACCGGTGCTCATGTGGTTTGCTGTCCATAGGTTGTTCAAGCACGCGCTTTCTACTCAAGCTGCTTCTGACCTATACGGCTCTGTCGTCTCTTCTTCTTCCTCCTCTTCCTCTTCGTCTTCTTCCTCTTCTTCTTCTTTTTCCTCTTCTTCTCCTCTTATCTTGTGCTTCTCTCTCAGGCTTCCAGGTAGCGTGCACATCAACCTCCCTTGGGGCAACCTCTCCCCGCTTCCACCCTGTCTCCTTCCATGCAGCGGTCTTCTGTCAATCCAGAAGCTCATACATAGTACCCGACGCTACTTTGCTGGGTGCGTTGCTCATTTGGTACACGGTGCACCACCTAGAGTCCTAGCGTGCATATCAAACTCCCTTGGAGCCATTGCTCTATGGCCGGCGGGCTTGCCGAATGCAACTAAATAATCACCCATTTGGGGTGAGCTTAGAGGTGCCAAATGTCGCTCTTGCTACCAAGAACGTAGCGTCGGCTTCTCCGCACAGGCTTCGCACGGTGCTCGGGCTTCTAACAGCTACTAGAGAATCCTAGATTTCTTCCCCGCTCTTATTTCTTCTTTGCAGCTCTTTCATTTGTTTACATGGGCTTGCTTATATTGCTTAATCAGCAGTTCGACCTGTTGTTGTCCTGCTGTAATGTTGTTGTGACACCTGGCCCATGTACCGTTCCACACTTAAAGCGTGAGGAGAGGCAAAAAACACAAAAAGAAAATACGACACCATCGAATCTGCTCACTCAATTTTTTGAGCATCGTTTTTATTTTTCAAATGGAAGCATTTGGCATATGTTTTCAATCAGACCACATCTGACTTCCCTTTTACATTGAAAGTACGGACGTGCGGTATTGCAAGAAAAAGACAACTAGGAGTGAAAACCGCCCATACAAACTGCAAGTCGAAAGGAAACACAAAAGAACTTGGCTGAAAAGCATCAGCGTTGAATCCGGAGCAGAGAGTTCCAACGCCCTTGTACGCATGTAGGGGACAGTTGTTCAGGCCCTCGAATTTGCCAACCCTTTTTTGAAGGGAATTGAAAGCTATCAGTGGTGAGGGCACCTCTTTCTTTAGTTTTGTTGTCTCCAAAGTGTGATTCCCGTGGCAACTCACTTCGTTTCCCCAAAGCCAGTCCCTGACAATTGTGGATGTTTACGCAATGACCATTCCTTGAACCTGCCCTGAAATGCTGTTCGCCAGGAGGAATCTAAGTGGGCATAAAGCTGTCATTCTACTGTCTTTTGATCGCCATAAAATGTGTCCGGAAAACTTCAGCACCTTAGATTCTACGGCATCCTCCTTAAAGCCCTGCGGAGTGTTGGCGCTGCTTGGACTAAAGGAGGACACGGGCTCTTGAAATATGGTGAGTGATAGCAATGATGCTGCAAGCCTACATGGATTACACATGCTCACTGGCTGCAAAAAAGCTGCCTGATCAGAAGAGGACCTGAGATCAAGTCAGCGCAATCCAAAAATCATCCAAAACCAACTCAGCAACGAATGCCTTGCACCCTTTGCTGTCATTGCACCTCATGACTTGTTCGATTGTGCGCCTTACCCGGCCGGCAACTTCCCCAAGAGGACGTGCAAAGAACCTTGGTTTTAAGGGATGGCCGTCTCTTGGAAGACATGCCCCCGAAGAACAGCCCTCAAAACATGTCGTAGATCAAATTGGACAATAGGAATCGAATGGGATCATGCTGCGACGCTGAGCGGCTCCAGGTCGACCGCAACGAAGCGGGCTTCGCCCTCTGGCAGCTGCACCACGATGGCCATGCCGTCTCCTGGTCCAAGGGAAGCGACAAAAATCACCAAAATTTTGTCTATGGCAACGCAATGGCAATGCATCACGATGTATCATAGTGTCATAGTGTATGAACATACACAGTTTTTTTGGATATATGTTTTGATATGTGCATCCGGGACCTGCTTTTGTGCTTTGAGAGCGACGGGATGCGACTGAGACAGCCGGTGGAGGCTAAGTAAGCGGCTGCCCAGCGACACTGCTGACATGAGCCAAAACGCATACAAGGGAATGCAAACCGAAAGCACTCTGTTGGCATCAGAAGCACCCATGCTTGCTTTTGGCGCTCATGATTTGGCAACCATTTCAAGATATGTCATTGTCATACAACAATACTCACATGCTTCTCAAACACCACATGTGCTGTAATATCTACAAATTTCTGGCATGTGACATTTGGAAAAAGGTAAACATTGAAACAATGGCAGTGGCAATTCCTCGATTGATTTTCCCGAAATTTTCGAAGGAGAAATGACATGTCGGAAAGCTCCCGAGCACTTCAGATCCCGTGAGGAGCCCACAGAATTCTGATTTATGAATTGAATTTGGTTGTTTGCGAGTCAAAAGCAGTTGCTTCATTGAAAATCAGTTTGGCATAGTTTGATGAGAATTTGAATATAGGTTGAATACCAGTTTGAATAAAACACATATATTATGAAAGATGAATAAATAACTGTGAATCATGTCAAATTATGTATGTATTAAGGCATAACATGAATATGTTTAAAATATGAATAACCGAAGGAAGTTTAGAAGTCAAACTTCCGACGACATGGACAGATGAAAAAGCAGAGGTGGGAAGAGTCAGAGAAGAGAAGAAGAAAGAAGATCAGAGATGCGAAAGAGTCAGAAGACAGAATATGCAGGTGCACGAAAAGGTAGCAAAGTTGCGAAACACGGTGTTTTTCCATTGATTTGTGGCTCTGGAGGGTCGAAAAATAGGCTTGCTAAACCGTCTGGGGAGATGAGAGATGAAAAATTGCACGCCGTCGCGAAGCACATTTCGAAGTCAAAATGCGCAAAGCACACCATGCTCGGAGCACTTTTGGAAGTTGCGATGTACGCCGCTGTGGCGCGAACCACATTTCCAAGTCAAAAATGTGCAAACACACACCAGGTTTGGAGCACTTTTGGAAGCTGAGATGTCGGAAAAAGTGCACGCCGTTGTGGCACGAAGCACGTGTCCAAGTCAAAATGTTAAAAACAGCACATGCTCGGACCAATTTTGAAGGTTCAGATGTGGTTTTGCGTGGCAGGCGCAAGGGATTCTGCACCTTGTCAGAAGTGAGAAAAACGTGAGGGCTTCATTTTCCGTGGCAGGCGCAGTACGAGAGACATGTTCATCAGAGATGTTGGGAGGTCCAGGCGCTGCTTTCCTGAGAGGGGTTGCATTTTGGAGCATCAGATCTGTAGGTTTGCTAAGATGATTTTGTGTGACAGGTGCAGCACTTCGTATGACCTGGCCTCACTTTTTCGTGGCAGGCGCAATAGTTTAGAGACATGGACTGGAAATTTCAAAAAACGCATTGGAACGAAACCGTCAGCTCTGCATTCAGCTTTCCATTTTTGAAGGAAGTCTCGCAGCATTGCTTCGTTTTTGATGTTGCCAAATTCCAAATTGAGGAAGTCTCGCAGACTTGCTTCGTTTTGAATGTTGTCAAGTTCAAAAGCTGAGGAAATCTCGCAGAATTGCTGCGTTTTTGATGTTGGCAAGGTCAAAAACTGAGGAGGTCTCGCAAAGTAGCTCCGTTTCCAAGCTTGCAGATAGACAGACAGACAGACAGACAGACAGACAGATAGATAGATAGATAGATAGCTACAACTACAACTACCACTACCGCTACACTACTACAACACTAATTAAACTACACTAAACTACACTAAACTACACTACACTACACTAATTACACTACTACTACTACTGCTGCTGCTGCTGCTGCTGCTACTGCTACTGCTACTACTACTACTACTACTGCTGCTGCTGCTGCTACTGCTACTCCTACTACTACTACTACTACTAAAACAACTACAACAGCAACTACTACAGCAACTACTACAACTACTTTACGACAGCAACTACAGCTACAACTACTACTACCAGTACTACCACTACCACAGCTACAGCTACAATTACAACTACACTGCATTACGCTGCACTAATTACAATGCAGCACACTGCACCTACAAATACAAATGCAAAAACAACTACACTGCATTACACAACACTACACTGTCATTACACTACCCTGCGCTAATTACATTACAATACACTACAACTACAGCTGCAGCTGCAAACTGCAATTCCAACTACCACTGCATTTCGCTACACTGCGCTACTTACACCACACTACACTACACTACAGCTACAACTACACTACTTTACACTACACTACGCTAGACTACACTACACTATACCGATATCACACTAGAGTACACAACGCTACAGTACACTACTATACACGACACTACACTATACACTACACTACACTACACTCATTACCACAACTACCAAGGCAACTGCAACTGCACTACACCAATTACACTACGTACTACAACTCCACTACACTACACTACAACCACAGCTACAACTGCGTTACACCACACTACATCCAGCAGTTGCGGTGAGGTGACCGCTGCAACCACTGCCACCACTCCAAAAGTCACAGCTCCAACAACCTTTCGGTCGATCAATGAATTCGCTTTGCCATCCGTGATTCACAACAACCAACCTCTCCATCGCCCTCTGTGAGAGTTCAGTCACAGACTGTAGGCGAGCCAACGGCCCAGCCCCCAGAAACAGTGTGTCAGCCAGCAAGCTCTGTGGCAAGCCGTGTCATGTCACTGCACCAGGCAGCGGGCAAATTTGAACTTTCAGCAACAATACCATGTTGATTAAAAGGTTCAAAGTTGAAAGGCACGGCGTTCACTAGATGCTGGGCAATGTCACTGCGTTCTTCACTGGGTGTTTGGAAGAGCAAGATTCGAAGATGAAAGGGGCCGTGATGTATCCAGGCAGTGGCCAAAATGCCCTCGAGGACGCTGCGCGAACAATCCCCGGTAAAGGAATGCTGTCTCTAGCCAAGCACGCGATCAAGTTCCAAGCAACATTGTGCCCCAGCAACGGTCACATGGCAAAAAACACTTGTTGCCCATGATAAGCTCCCTGAAGACAGCGTCTGGTCTTCTCATGTGTTTATCACAAGCAATGGCGAAGACATTCGCTCGAGAGACTGGCCCGCAAACCTCATTGTGGCGGAGCCCCGGTTCTTCGAGGTTCCTCCATTGTTGCTTGTCTGTGGCTGTCTCCAATGGAATGTTCCTATGTTGCAGGTATCTGAGGACCGGCCGATGTCCGCTATTGTTGGGTCCGGTACGGAGCCGCCTCTGGTGCAGAGCTGGCTGCAAACCAAGAAGGACAGACCGCGTTAAGGAAGACTCAGGCTGACGAAGAACATGACCGACCCACTGCCAAACCATCCGGACAAGCAAGGAATTCCAAGGCTCAGTGAAGGATCGCCCCCAAAGTTTCACACCATGCCTTAAGACCTGGAGGCACTCCACGGTGAACCAAGAGGGATGGGCACGACCACCTAACAACCAAGTCAACAGGGTAACGCAATGCACCCGAAGGCGACGGAGAGTGCTTTGCTTGACAGAACGCACAAGGACCACCTCAAGGAGAGACAGGACGCAGTCACGAGAGATTGAAAGAGACGGAGCTTTTGGCGCCGCGTGGCGCAACGGCAGGTAAGGAGCACGCGGTTGGAGAAGAATGCAGCAGTAGCACGGGCACTCTCCTATAGGTTTCCTATTTTTGAAACTTCCGCCGCCTTGTGCGGTACTACTGGTATGAGGCATAACATGTCCTGAATCCGACTCCCCAATCCGCCTCTCGAGGTGCTGTCTCACGTGGCGCTTCCTGGATTGAATCATTGCAAAATTACCGTCGGATTACCGAAGGATGCACGGTCCATATAGCATATGCTTACACACTGCAATGGTGAAGATGCTACAAGCACCATGCCTGCCACGAAAAACAAATGGTAGAATCGTGCGCGTAGTGTGGGCGCCAATGCTGTTGTGTGATACAGAGGGCGCGTAGTATGTGCAGAACCCCACACGAAGATGTGGGAAACAAGACACTTGAGCCACTTTGTGCTCTAAACCAGTCATTTGTGTTTAGCGCTATGCAAAATAAAAACCCCTACGTTCTTGGAAAGATCCCTGCACAGTGTTGGGATGCAATTTTGAATGTGCACGACTAGTGTAAACTAACGACTCACAGCCAAAGTCCGAGTCCCACAAGGAACATACCCTCCATTGTAAGCAGTGTTGCTTTACCCTCATGCCAGTTGCTCCATGCAATGTGAAGGGGGCACCGCAGAAAAGTCCCAAGGTATCACTGGCAACAAATCCTCGCGTAATGACATGACAATACAATACAATCCATCACAATCCCAATCCTCCTGCTGCGTTGACCCCGTGCGTCTCATAGGTTCTTCCTGGTCACACCAAATTTGGTCACTTGCATGTCACCTACAAGCAGAAAGCCAAACTTGTGCCGTGCGACACCGTGCAGAGACGGTGCAAAACAAAACAGTGTGTTTCGACCTTTTTTGGTCTTGCGTGTGCCTGTGGCGGACGACGTGGGCCATCATCATCCTGGTCCGTTGCGCTCTCAGGACTTGATGTAAAAACCAGGCTGAGATCCGTTACACATCGAGTTACACTGTTACAACTTGTGTTGCAACTCGCGTTGCAACTCAGGTTACAACTTGTATCACAACTTGTTGCAACCAACGGCTTTCATTTTGTTAACTAACGACCTGGATCACTCTCTGTTCTGCTTTTCAATAACTCTGTGCATGTTTCAAGGCAGGGTTCTTGAGATTACCCAAGGACTTTCTGTGTTTCTGGCCTCCGCATGTCGCTTTTCAAAGAAATATTTGATTCAAAGATTTGCGACATGAGT